TCCATCATTCAAGCATTCACGACCACCTGAAGAAGCTGGGATATGTAAGCAAGCTCGATATTTGGGTTCCGCGTGAATTCAAAGAAGTTCATTTGATGGTGCATATAAACATCTGCAATATACTTATTAAGTGTGAGGAAAACAATTCTTTTTTGAAGCGACTGATAACTGGTGATGAGATGTGGATTGTTTACAACAATGTGGTGCACAACGGTCTTGGTCCCAACGTGATGATTCGCCTCAAACGACATCGAAAGCAGACATTCATCAGAGGAAGGTTATGCTCTCAGTGTGGTGGGATTTTAAAGGTATCGTGTTTTTCAAGCTCCTACCAAGGAACCAAATAATCAATTCGAATGTGTACTGTCAGCAATTGGACAGTCTGAATGAATCCATCATCCAGAAATGTCCAGAGCTTGTGTAAATTGTAAAGGAGTTGTGTTTCATCGCGACAACGCGAGACCACACACAAGTTTGATCACCAGTCAAAAATTATTGGAGCTTGGATGGGATGTGTTGCCACACCCACCATACTTGCCTGACATTGCGCTGTCAGACTTCCACTTGTTTTGCTCTCTTCAAAACTCCTTGCATGGTATAACATTCAATTCAGATGAGGCTGTAAATCAGCACCTTGTTCAGGTTTTCACAAATAAAGACAGGTCCTTCTATGAACTAGGAATTATGAGGCTCACTGAAAGATGGCAAAAGGTCATCGAACAAAATGGGCAATATATCATTGATTGATCTCTGTTCTTTATATAAATAAATGACCTTTGAAAAACATAGACAAAATACATCATGACTTTTCTGACAACCCAATAGAACACTGATGTTATAACCAAGCAAATTTTGGATACCATAGAGGTAGATTATGGATAATAGGAATGGAGGTGGGATGTACCTAGGAACAGGGAAGTAGTCTGAAGCCAGATTACAAAGGGCCTTCCTAAGGAGTTCAGATGTTATTCTGTTAGAAACCTACCTACTGAGGTATTTGAGGAGGGCACTTATATACTTATATCTATATTTCAGAAATAAATCAGTAGAGGGGATAGATGAGGATGGCCTGAAAATTGCAAGCAGAGAGCATTAGTGGGAGTGAACTCTGATGCAGCAATACCAGTCTAACTGGCTCTGTGAGAGAAGATTGGGTGTCTGGGAGTGGTGAAAAATAAGACCAACAGAAGAGGTAGGATAGGGCCAGGAAATGAAGGGCTCCAGAGCCAGGTAAAAGCATATGAAGTGGAATCCCTCAGTTCTGATGCCTGTTTTCCTACTTGGGGAAAGTCCCTTATCTTTTCTAGAAGCCAGTTTCCTTTTCCTGCTAGGGTTTTCTTCAGCTGCAAATGTTATCATATTCTATAATATCCTGACCTGCTACTGTGCTTCTCAAACCTTGACCGCACATTGGAATCACTTAGAAAGCGTTAAAAGCTGTTGATGCCTGGATCCCACTCTGAGCGATTTAGACTTATCTGGTCTTGGATGCAGCCTAGGCACTGAGAGTTTTAACAGGTCCCCAGGTGATTTCACTGTGCAGCCAAGGTTGAGATCAACTAATGTAGAAAATGGTGAAGCACTTGGATTCTTAAGCATGGTAACGATATGTTGGGGAGCGGAGTATTTTAAGGAAGACTGATATGAGTATCCAGAGTAGAGGAAAAAGACTATAGGAAGCTAATTGGAATTTTTCAATAATCCAGGAGAAAATTTTACTAAGGCCTAGATTAGCATGAATGCTATGACATTGTAGGATAGAAGATGAATGTAGGAAGAAGATTATGTAGAGGGAAATAACATCAGGACTCAGTAACGAATTGAATATTAAACCTGATCAAAAGAAAAGAGAAAATGTAGAGTCAAGTTTCTAGCACGTAAGAATAGCGGGATCCTTAGCAAAACTAAAGTAGTTGTGAAACAGTTGGTTAATCAATATTATTGATAATATGGTAACTGACATTATGTAATTACAATGTTAGGGACTATGCTATGTGCTTTACATACATAATCTCATTTGATCTTTACAAAAACTGTATAAATACTGTTATTCCTACTTTACAGATCCAGGAACTAAAAAGAAAGAATAGTTAAATAACTTGCCCAAAGTTACACAGTAAGTGGTAGAAAAGATATTTAAATTAACTAGTCTGACTCCTTTTCCTTATAATAGTTACATACTGAATCTGTTGAATTTGAACAAATAGTTCAAAAAAACAATACGGCTATAGAGGCCAGACAGGAACATAATAAATGAGTGAATTAAGTCAGATTTAACTATAGTGAAATGAAGAGAAAACATCTACATGAGAGAGCCGCTTACCTGGCTCTACTTGAATGTTGCCCTGTTGAAGTTTCAGGCCCTGTATTGCAATATTTTAAGAATTTGCATGAAAAGAAAACCTGGATTTGTATGTAAAATCTCATAAGATGTCAATGTCAACAAATTCAAATGTTTAAAATTACTGTGTGGCCCAAACTACAATAAATATAGCTGCAACTTTGCACCTCTGACTAGGTTGTTGGAAATTCAGAACTGACATCAGTGAGAGATCTGGACTGGAGATGTATGATTAGGGAATTTTAAGTGCAGAGAAGATAACAGATGCTCCAGGAGTTATATATGTTAGAATAATAACCGACATTTGACATGATTAATTAAAATAATGCAAAAATGTATGAGTTTAACAAGTCCGAACTCTAAGAGGTTTTCAATCTTAGAGAAAACTGACATAAAATGGAAGTGTTAAAACTAGCAGATTGAAGTGGGTGTATTTAAAATTCAATTTCTATAAACTAAGAGCTAAATTCCAGATAATGACTTGAATTTTCATACACCCATGATGTGATGAAAACATTTCAAAATTGTGAATATCTCTCCTACTGATTGAAAGGTAGCTGAAAGGTTGTCACTTTTTCTACCTTGGATTACTTTCTCCCAGCCTACTTTCTCACTCACACTCATGTCTGCAAGGTCCATAGCAAAGGGGTTCACAATTAGCTAAGATTTTTTTTTAAATTAAATAAAACCTTTTTTATTTTTAATTATAGAGTTTCAAGTTCCTCAATTAAAAGACCATCCAGGTTTTAGAGCTCAGTAAATATTATTTGAAGTCTAGACTAGAATAGTGCTTTTGAACACTATTCTATCAAATTACTGTATAATCAGTCATGGATAATGTAAACCAGATGTGTAAAAATAAAATATCACATACATGAAAGCATTTTGCAAATTGTGAAGCCCTGCAGAAATTATAAAGAAATGTTAGTCTGATGTTATTTTCAAGCTTAGAAGGGTCCTGAACTTAGAAAGTGAAACCTTTTGTATTTGAAACAGAATTTGCACCTTTCTCCAAAACAAGTTTCCTTTCTTTTTTTTTCATGTAACTAATTCCAAGAGTGAGAATATCTTTCCAGTTGTTAAAGTTCAAGTAAAATTGACTTAATAGCAATAATTGTAGTAATATAATGAGGGGGAATGATCAACTTAATACATGGCAAAGACCTAAAGATGCTGCAGTTGTGTTACAAACCTTCAGAGTCACGCCACACCATCCTGTGATCAGCTTTAAATGTCTTAGGAAAAACTACAACTCTTGAAAATTGTATTAAGGACTAGGTGCTTTCAACGCCAAGAGCTGTTTTGACATGTCAAAAGTTTGGGTCTTTGAACACCCTGCTCTTTATTGAACAATTTCTTTAAAAGTCACACATGTTAACACACACACACTTTGCTTTTGATTACATATTGTATCAACAACTGTATGTTCAAAATGATGATGGCGTAATTTCTGTTGGTTGTTTAGTATATGGAAACACGACTCCATTTTTGGATAGCTGAAATGTCGCAAATTAATTAACACATCATTTTACGGTACCCCTCCTTTAAAATATTACCTGAGAAGTATAAATAGCTCAACCTGACGGCTTTGAAAATCCTAATCCTATTTGTTACGGTGGATCTTACATAAAGTGGGAACACACACAACTGACAGTCTTCAACATGCTTACAAAAATACTCCCCCCCAAAAATTCAGGAGGTAGCAATTAAAATCATCCAACGCCCGCGCTCCGCAAACACTTCTTTCAAATTAGTGTGGTATATTCTGGGTATTCCTCCGTGACCGATGGCCGGGCATTTCTTTGGGAAAAGCCGTTTTTGTGTGAGGTGCTAAAACAAACAATAAACCCCTTTCATCCCTTTCTCATTCACTCTGCAGGGGGTGGAATAAATAGGGAGCTGAATGAAGCTTTTTACGCATTTGGGTTCACCGTCTCGTCTCCTGATCCCTACTATCCGGGATCCCCCACTCCACGGCGGCTGAAGCCAAGCATCTGGAGACCAATAGTGATTCCAGGAGCTGCGCCCCGGGGGCGCCAGGCCTCAATCTTACAGGCCCGTCCCAGGGAAGCCCAGCCTACGAGGGGCAATCACGGCTTCTTGGAGGCGCCAGGAAAATCAATGCTCTGACAGGCTACGGACAGGAATCGGATAGGGTAGGAGAAAGGCGAGCGTTCTTCCCACATTCCCGGTGACAAAACGAGGTAAAAGAGAAAGAGGGTTGTATAATTCCAGCATGGGGTACGGACTCTGGGAACAAAGAGACAGGAGGAAGATGAGACAGCCACGCCAACGCAGACTCAGAAGGGCTCTCCTACTTTACGCAAGTGGCTCGCATCTCAACCGTGCTCAGTTGCACTTACGCCACTAGCTCGGCCTCAGAGCCTTCGCGAATACGGCTTTGCGCACTGCGGCGGAGCTGCGCCGCAACCGAGCTTGGTCCTATGGCTCCTCCCCACCACCCTGCGCGGATTGGTGGCGGATAGAAGCCAGGCTGCTGATTGGGTGGCGAAGAAGCCAGTCGGGGCGGCTCTGGTGGGTTCGGCTGCCCCAGAGTAATAAGTTCGGCTTCAGACACGCCTCAGCGCCAGCAGCGAGTCGGAGCTCTATGGAGGTGGCAGCGAGTACCGGGTGGTGGCTGCAGCAGCGACTCCTCTGAGCTGAGTTTCAAGCCGTTTCCGACTCCTTCCTCCCCCTTCCCTCCCCCTTTTTTTTGTTTTCCGTTCCCTCCCCCTCCCTTCCCTGTCCCCGACGACCGGATCCTGAGGAGGCAGCTGCGGTGGCAGCTGCTGAGTTCTGGGTGAAGGTGAGTGGTGCCGCTACCGCCGCCGCCGCCGCCGAATAGAGCGCTCTAAAATGGCCGCCGTCCCCTGGCCGCCTGTTCTCGAGCGGTACAAAATGGCGGCCGCAGGCGGAGCCGGGCGGGGCGACACTTTTTAGCGTTTCCTCCGCGCTCCGGGCACCTGGAAATTCTTCGCCTTTGTTCTCCTTTCCCGTTGCCCACGGGGTAGAAGGAAATCAGCAGCCTAGGCGGACCCGGCCGGCATCGTGGCTGTCGGTGGCCGTCCCCTGCGGGGCAGGGATCAGGGCGGGCCAAGGCGCGGGTGTGCTCGGACGGGGAGAGAGCGTGGCGGGGCCCCACGCGCCGCGGCGGGGTGGGACGTGGTCCGGCGCGAGGACCCAGCCGTTGGCGCGGGACCAGCCGAGGCGCAGAAGTCCCGGAGACCGGCCCCCGGCAGGGAGGAAGTGTGTAAAGCCCCGGTGCCGGCCGGGAGCGGCAGGGCTGTTCTTTTTGGGGGGAGCGAAGGGTATCCCCGACGGGCCTCTCCTGAGACAGGAGAGCGAAGAGAAAACTGGGACTCACGTCCTTTTGTCAGCTGGGAAGGGAATGGAGAGGCGGCTGTCAGTTCCTTGGGGATTTATGGAGTGGGAGGGGGCCCACTTGGAGGCGACGGGTGGGAAGGAGGCCGCCTTCCCGACTGGAGAACAAAGAGTCGGGCGCTGGGCCGGCGGGGGCGGCCTCCGCTCCTCCCCGCGGAGACGTGCCCCCAGCGGCTCCGCGGGGAGACTGTCGGAAGCACTTCCCTAACTCAAGCCTGGCTGGGAGGAATCCACTGCTCTTTTGTTCCCAGGAAGGGAAAAAACGGGGCGGAGGTTCCTGCTGCCATGTTGTGGCCCCGGTCTTCCGCCTGCTTAGTGTACACCCATGTCCCTCTCGAGCATCTTCCCGGATGCCCTCTGCGGAGGAGTTAAAAAAATGGACAGTGAAGGAAACTGCTCAACAGTCTAGTTATCGCTTATGTAGTCTGTTTGGTTTGTCATTGAGGCATTAAACTATTACGACATTTTCCACAGAATGTGCCCGTGTTGATAGTTAGATTTTCTATTACTGATTTTGGTGCTCAGTTTTAAAGAAAGTAGAATGGGGGTTTTTCAAAGATTGGTTCATAGCGGTTGAGATGTTCTTATATTTCTGTGAGTGCTCTTTGCATCCTTGAACACAAGGGAATTTCTAGGTGGCTAAACAAATAAAATTTTACTGTCCACTTGTGCTTTGAGTACATTCTATTTTAGTCTTATGAGATCTGCAATGCAGTGAAAGTTCAATCAACTGCAGTGCCACTATCTGAAATAAATTACAATCAAGGGGGAGGTTATAGGTTTGTATGTGAGCAGTGTCTAATTTTGGTACTCTTTCTTCTTCTAGGTTTTTCATTTCTCCCATCCCCTTCCCTCCCCACCCCATCCATTAATATTATTCTTTTGAAGATTCTTCGTTGTCAAGCCGCCAAAGTGGAGAGTGCGATTGCAGAAGGGGGTGCTTCTCGTTTCAGGTATGTATAGATTTATTTTGGGCAGTTGTTAGAGATCAGTCACAAAACCAAAAGAATCACCACACCAAATAATTCTGACTAAATGTGCTGTAAAATACAGAATAATTAAAGAAATGTTTTTCTTTTAATTAGTGCTTCTTCGGGCGGAGGAGGAAGTAGGGGTGCACCTCAGCACTATCCCAAGACTGCTGGCAACAGGTATAGTAAACGTATATAATAAAAAAGATTTATATTAATAGTCTTTGTCGTGGATAACACTACAGTTATGGCAGTAGACATCAGGAATCCTAACTTTACTGGGCATGGTTTCTACTATGTAACCTAAATTTGGAATATCAGCTGTTGATTATTTCTTACCCGAATCTAATATGAATCGAGGCTCTTGAACTGTTTTATCCTACATTTTTCACTGATGTTATTTCTGAAATCAGTTATTACTCATATTTAGTGGTATTAAAGCAGTACGCATGCATCATGATCATGAGACATTAGAAAGTGTTGGTTCCCAAGGTATGGCTCCTGTGTCAGCAGCATTGGCATCACCTGGGATCTATTAGAAATGTAAATTATCAGGCCCTGGCCCAGACCCACTACAGCAGAAACTGGGGATGGGCCCAGCAGCCTGTTCTAACAAAAGCCCTTCAGCTGATTCAGATGCACACTATTGTTTGAGAACCACTGCTTGTAAGTTTTTTAGTTGTAGGGGAAGTTGAGAAACCCTAAACTAAAATTTTTGTATTTAGGATTTTTGATCAGTATGACATTCGATAGTGACTGGATGCTATGTTTTAAATTGGCTTAATTATAAATCTGTTTTTACTAGCGAGTTCCTGGGGAAAACCCCAGGGCAAAACGCTCAGAAATGGATTCCTGCACGAAGCACTAGACGAGATGACAACTCCGCAGCAAACAACTCCGCAAATGAAAAAGAACGACATGATGCGATCTTCAGGAAAGTAAGAGGGTAAGTTTATAGGTCTGTTTTGTTCTTTTACTGAAAGGAGACAAGAATGGGTTGGTCGTATTTCTCTTGTGTGTGTGTGTATGTTCACGCCCAAAGTATGTATTTTAACGAATGCCAATGTTAACAGTTTTAAACTGAAGAGAGCAGCACATCAGTATTTTGGAGCTTAGAGTTGCTTGCAGCCTCTTGTGTTGACATTTCCCATGTCTGGTGTGTAACCCGGTGAATCACAGGACATAATGGTCTTAGGTCCTGCATGTAGCCTTGAATAAGGAGGCTCTTGCTTTCTGGATTTTGAGAATGTGTGAAAAACTTGTCAGACAGGTGGTCATCCCCCAGTCAGGTATAGAAATCATAACCTAAATAACAGTGAGACTTATTTCAGCATCCCTTTGGTTAGATGGTAAGAAGAAATGTCTTGATATCAAAGGGAGATGATGGAAGAAAGAAAGTAACACATATAAAAGCTATTTTTCAATTCTTTGTATGTTGGCTGACACTTGTGTGATTCCTTTTTCCCCAGCATACTAAATAAGCTTACTCCTGAAAAGTTTGACAAGCTATGCCTTGAGCTCCTCAATGTGGGTGTAGAGTCTAAACTCATCCTTAAAGGGGTCATACTGCTGGTAAGTTAAATATTGGCTTAACTGAAAGGGAGAGGAAAATATTTAACAAACCCAAGTTGGTTTTTTTTACACTTTGCATTATTGCTTGAAACTGAGGTGTGAGTTAGATAAATGTATTTTTCAATACTGGTGATAATAAAGGACCCACTAACTTTTAATGGCATCAGATTTAAGAGGTGAATTTTTAATTGTTAATACTATGCTGTAGAGTTATAATGTAAGATTCCAATGTTTGCTTGTAAGTTTTGATTTTCAGCGCAGAGGGAGGGTGTGACTAGTATGAAATCTGTATGACTAGACTTTCGGTACACTGTAGTAGCTAACATTTAAGTACTTGTATTTTTCCAGGCTTATACTAAGCCTTTTACATGCTTTATCTAATTTAGTTCATACAGTAAACCTTACAAAAGATGTCCTATTCCCAAATTATCGATGAAGCCTAGAGAGTTTGTCAGTAAGAAGTTTGAGATTTAAGATCCAGACTGCAAAGAAGTATGTAGTTTATAAAGGAAGGGTTCTTTAAATGGTTATATTTAGGTTTTTTTTTAACGATGTTTTCTGTAGATTGTAGACAAAGCCCTAGAAGAGCCAAAGTATAGCTCACTGTATGCTCAGCTATGTCTGCGATTGGCAGAAGATGCACCAAACTTTGATGGCCCAGCAGCAGAGGGTCAACCAGGACAGAAGCAAAGCACAGTAAGTGGTAGTGTTAGCTTTGCCTATTTTAAAGTTGATTTGAAAGATTTCACTAATAAAACTTGGCAAATGTCTTCTGTTTCTAATAGACATTCAGACGCCTCCTAATTTCCAAATTACAAGATGAATTTGAAAACCGAACCAGAAATGTTGATGGTAAGCATTTATATTTGATACTAAATAGTACTGTACACTTTAGATTTAATTTCAGCTTAATTCTGACTGGTTGGCTTTGTTTTCTTTTTTCCAGTCTATGATAAGCGTGAAAATCCCCTCCTCCCCGAGGAGGAGGAACAGAGAGCCATTGCTAAGATCAAGATGTTGGGGAACATCAAATTCATTGGAGAACTTGGAAAGCTTGATCTTATTCATGAATCTATCCTTCATAAGTGCATCAAAACAGTAAGTATGATTTAGGTTTAGATTAATCAGTGGGTACACATTATTTGGGGGAGATGAGTCAGTTATTTCTTTTGTCATCTGAGAATGTTAGGCTAAGTATTTTAGATGACCAGCAAAACTTTTTTAAATGTTTTGAATATGGAAGTAAGTATGCAATATAGGAAGGTAGGGGTTGAACTGATTACCTACCTATGTTAAATTGCTTGATTTGGAGGGGTTTCTTCAACACAGACCAAATACAGGGTATTATGTTAGATATTGTGGGATCTATATGAGTCAGTGCAATCATAAGGTGAAAGTACTACAACTAAATGAGGTAAAGATTTTTGTCAACATGTGGTATTTATTTCTTTTGGTAGCTTTTGGAAAAGAAGAAGAGAGTCCAACTCAAAGATATGGGAGAGGATTTGGAGTGCCTCTGTCAGATAATGAGGACAGTGGGACCTAGATTAGATCATGAACGAGCCAAGGTATGTGTATTGCTGATAGAAATGGTATACGTAATTTTAATCTTCATTTTATTCAAATCAAGTGACTTATTTTTGTGATGCCATAGGGGATTGCCATTATTTATTTAGTCACTAACCTTGACTATAATCTAAAAGCCTTAAGTAGCATTTTCTTTTAATTGTGTATTTTTCTCTTCTGTTAGTCCTTAATGGATCAGTACTTTGCCCGAATGTGCTCCTTGATGTTAAGTAAGGAATTGCCAGCAAGGATTCGTTTCCTGCTGCAGGTAAAACTTTTAAAATAGTTTGTGAGCTTTTTCTGTTTCGGAATATTAAAATGAAACTTACTAAAACTTTTTTAAAGGATACTGTAGAGTTGCGAGAACACCACTGGATTCCTCGCAAGGCTTTTCTTGACAATGGACCAAAGACGATCAATCAAATCCGTCAAGATGCAGTAAAAGTAAGATTTTTTTTTTATCAAGTGGTTTTTATGATTATAGTAGCAACAAGGACCCTCTTAAAACTTGTTTGAGATAATCTCATTTTACCTGGTGGCGCTTATTAGTGTTTTTAGTGCCTTGTATGTCATTTTGGAAGAAAGTTCACAGAAATTAGAAGTCTACAAGTTTTTCTGTTGTTTTTCTCCAATGTAAGAATTTTAGTTTTATGTAAAATAATGTCCAAAAACAAGTGTTTTATTTACTTCATTTCTAAAGGATCTAGGAGTATTTATTCCAGCTCCTATGGCTCAAGGGATGAGAAGTGACTTCTTTCTGGAGGGACCGTTTATGCCACCCAGGATGAAAATGGATAGGGATCCACTTGGAGGACTTGCTGATATGTTTGGACAAATGCCAGGTGATTTTGAACAAAACAGTGGTTTGGTTAAATTTTAAAAATCAATGTAACATAGTAGAGTTGTAAAGAGTTGTCCGTGTATGTATTTTAAGGTAGCGGAATTGGTACTGGTCCAGGAGTTATCCAGGATAGATTTTCACCCACCATGGGGCGTCATCGTTCAAATCAACTCTTCAATGGCCATGGGGGACACATCATGCCTCCCACACAATCGCAGTTTGGAGAGATGGGAGGCAAGTTTATGAAAAGCCAGGTAGGAAACCATTTAAGACTGTTTAGGCAACAAGTATTATATCCTGTGATACATGATTTGATTTTTGCTTCTTAAAAAAGGCAAATACTTTAGGGCAATTTGTTTTTCTAAACCAAATTCACATCTGTGACAGTTACTTTAAACTGGGTGAAATGCTTACCCTTAACATTAGTAAAGTATTAGTAAAATCACATCACTTTATTTGAGAGTTAGGTTAGATTTTTATTCTTCCCTGTTTCATCTTTTACTTTCTCTGGGCAAATTCAGTTAAGCTTTCCTTATGACTTGGCTCATCCCTTTGGTACTTTATTACCATAATTTGTGGACCCCTTTTTATCTAGACTTTCTTTCTCCCTTTCTGAAATAGGGGCTAAGCCAGCTCTACCATAACCAGAGTCAGGGACTCTTATCCCAGCTGCAAGGACAGTCGAAGGATATGCCACCTCGGTTTTCTAAGAAAGGACAGCTTAATGCAGATGAGGTACATTTGCCTATGTTACTTAATATACCACAGTTTGTCAATTCAGAACGCTATTGCCCGATGATTATAAAAAGACGCGTTATTAAGAGGACTTAATGCTGGAGTTCTTCACCTTCTTTCTCTCTTTTCTGTACTCCTTTTTCTTTCTTTGGATGTCCAGCGTCCTATGAGCGAAGATTATGAGATATGAGGGCAAGCCTCTTAATTACAAGTCTAGTGAGAGCAAGGAGAAAATGGTTGTCAAGATTTTGATTGTGATTTCTCTGTAAATAGAATGGCTTAACTAAGAATAAAGCAAGACATTTTCTAAACTAATTAAAATTTCTGGTTCTTTTAGTGATGCTACTCCTAGAATTCTGGTACAAATAAAAGAGTAATAATATTTTATTCTTGTGTGGATCAGCTCTTTAGTTCTCTTGCCAGAAATTAAACTGTTAACATGGAGTACCTTTATGGTTATTAGTGAAATTTATATACCTACCATAGGTTCTATCATGTTTTTGTATACTGAATTAATCTTAGGATTTTGGAATGCTACATTTACATTTAGTATGTTAGCCAACTGCATGTTGTTAACTTGGATATCTTTTGATTTGTTTTCAATTCTAGATTAGCCTGAGGCCTGCTCAATCGTTTCTAATGAATAAAAATCAAGTGCCAAAGCTTCAGCCTCAGATAACTATGATTCCTCCTAGTGCACAACCACCACGCACTCAAACACCACCTCTGGGACAGGTATGGGCCATAGTATGACAATTTTTCCTGTTCCAGTACTTTTTGAAGATACCTAGTTGGGGATGGGGGGGTATTGTTTTCTCTAAATTCACAAGCTGCTTTTTAAAAGTTTTTAGTAAACGTACCTGTTACGTTGCTGTTTTTTAGACACCTCAGCTTGGTCTCAAAACTAACCCACCACTTATTCAGGAAAAGCCTGCCAAGACCATTAAAAAGCCACCACCATCAAAGGAAGAACTACTTAAACTAACTGTAAGTTGCTGCAGATAATCCCAGTCTAATTCATGGGGTATATCTGAGTTGGGGGCAGGGGTGGGACACGGAAGACATTGGAATTGTGTTCTTTTCAGGAAACTGTTGTGACTGAATATCTCAATAGTGGAAATGCGAATGAAGCCGTCAATGGTGTAAGAGAAATGAGGGCTCCGAAACACTTTCTTCCTGAGATGTTAAGCAAAGTAATCATCCTGTCACTAGACAGAAGTGATGAAGATAAAGAAAAAGCAAGTTCTTTGATCAGTTTACTTAAACAGGAAGGGATAGCCACAAGTGACAACTTCATGCAGGTAGAACGCTTTTCTGATTCTGTGAGAACTCTTTCCATTCAAATTTGAAAACTAATAAACTGACTATGTTACGTATTCCTTCTAGGCTTTCCTGAACGTATTGGACCAGTGCCCCAAACTGGAGGTTGACATCCCCTTGGTGAAATCATACTTAGCACAGTTTGCAGCTCGTGCCATCATTTCAGAGCTGGTGAGCATTTCAGAACTAGCTCAACCACTGGAAAGTGGCACCCATTTTCCTCTCTTCTTACTTTGTCTTCAGCAATTAGCTAAATTACAAGATCGAGAATGGTTAACAGAACTTTTTCAACAAAGCAAGGTCAATATGCAGAAAATGCTCCCAGGTAAGAGAATGCTGGAGATTTTTTGGTTTTGTTTTTTTAAATACTAAGTCTAGTATCCTTTCTAGATAATGATAAGCCTTACTACAAGTAGATTTCACCTTTATTCAAAAGAAGTTAATGTGATTTTAACTATTGGGTTGTTGGAAAAGTGATGTATTTTTTTCTGTTTTTCGTTGCAAAACGTCATGATTTTTCCGACAACCCAATACTTTTATTTGCTCCACATGTTAAGAGTTTCCTTCGCTGGATTAGTTCTTTGTTTTACATGAATCTTGTACATTGGGGAAATCACTACCTGATGATACAAATGGTTTTGTCTTTTCAGAAATTGATCAGAATAAGGATCGCATGTTGGAGATTTTGGAAGGAAAGGGACTGAGTTTCTTATTCCCACTCCTGAAATTGGAGAAGGAACTGTTGAAGCAAATAAAGTTGGATCCATCCCCTCAAACCATATATAAGTGGATTAAAGATAACATCTCTCCCAAACTTCATGTAGATAAAGGATTTGTGAACATCTTAATGACTAGGTAAGGTAAAGTTGATCTACATATAGTACAGAGCTAAGTTATGTTTTACTAGAAAAAAGTCAAAAGTCAAGGGACTAAGAATTGTCTGTTTCTTGAGGTAGAAAAGAAAATTCGACTTGGGGTTCTAATATCTCTCTCTCTCTGCAGCTTCTTACAGTATATTTCTAGTGAAGTAAACCCACCCAGTGATGAAACAGATTCTTCCTCTGCTCCTTCCAAAGAACAGTTAGAGCAGGAAAAACAACTGCTTCTTTCTTTCAAGCCAGTAATGCAGAAATTCCTTCATGATCACGTTGATCTACAAGTCAGTGCCCTGTATGCTCTTCAGGTGCACTGCTACAACAGCAACTTCCCAAAAGGTAAGGACCAGTGTCCGGAGATGGGCAAGTGCGGGGTAATTCTTAAACAGCACACAAATGGGATTACATTTTGTCTTTTAGGCATGTTACTTCGCTTTTTTGTTCACTTCTATGATATGGAAATTATTGAAGAAGAAGCTTTCTTGGCTTGGAAAGAAGATATAACCCAAGAATTTCCCGGGAAAGGCAAGGCTTTGTTCCAGGTAAATCTTTTGGAGAAATTTGGTCGTCTGTTTCCAATTTGCTTGGTATTTTAATGAAGAGCCTTTAAAACTGAAATAGAAGCAAAATGGTCATAGTGTTCTGTACAGTCATTCTGCACTGTTACACGCTATGGTCAAATAGTAGGCAGTTAGCAGCAAAATGAGGTAAAGCTATGAAAGATGTTAGGGTAGCCAATGTTTAAAAGTAAAGCCACTTAACAAAGATAAGGAGATTGCAAGATGGGATTCAAGGTGTTTTAAATGTCGGCAGAGATTGCTTCTGATTTCTCATGCTTTGATTTTCTCTTACTGAGTGGAATTCTAGCCCTAAGGGATTCTAAAATCACAGTATACATTAATCACCTAGAGAGTAGTTTCTAAGTAGGATCCAGGCTTGATCCCAGGGATTCTGATTTAGTGTGATTATCACACTGTAGTGTTTTCCAGGGGACCAGGCTTTGAGAAACACTGGTCTGCAGTATCTTACCTTTACTCCTAAGGTTCACAAATTAGTTCCCTCGTGAGGATCATCTTGACAACATCCTTAGCCTTGTCCTTGGGGAACCTTACCCAGCAATTTTGGGATGGGCTGGAAATCTATTTAATATCTTCTTAATTTTCCCCCCTTTCCTCCCCAGTAATGCTTAACATATTTAGGCTTGGGAGGAGCCACTGTCCACACTAAAATGATCCTGAAATGTAATTGGAACCGTGTTCAAGAATGACACCTGAGCTAACTGGCCATAAATAGCTTGTATGGCATCCCAAGTCTAAATAATGAACACTTTTAAAAAATAACTTTAAAGCTAATGTACAAATAGTATATTTGTAGCATGTCCTAGAGGCTGTTGGCAATTATAAAAGGTACAGTATAGCACTCCATAACACTTGAACTTGGCTGGGTTTCTAGTTTGGTCCTGAATCTGCTTTGAGTTTTTCTTTCTCTGTAAGCACTACATATTTTGTTAAATTACAAATTAATTTTACAGGTGAATCAGTGGCTAACCTGGCTAGAAACTGCTGAAGAAGAAGAATCAGAGGAAGAAGCTGACTAAAGAACCAGCCAAAGCCTTAAATTGTGCAAAACATACTGTTGCTATGATGTAACTGCATTTGACCTAACCACTGCGAAAATTCATTCCGCTGTAATGTTTTCACAATATTTAAAGCAGAAGCACGTCAGTTAGGATTTTCTTCTGCATAAGGTTTTTTTGTAGTGTAATGTCTTAATCATAGTCTACCATCAAATATTTTAGGAGTATCTTTAATGTTTAGATAGTATATTAGCAGCATGCAATACTTACATCATAAGTTCTCAAGCAGAAGGCAGTCTATTGCAAGGACCTTCTTTGCTGCCAGTTATCATAGGCTGTTTTAAGTTAGAAAACTGAATAGCAACACTGAATACTGTAGAAATGCACTTTGCTCAGTAATACTTGAGTTGTTGCAATATTTGATTATCCATTTGGTTGTTACAGAAAAAATTCTTAACTGTAATTGATGGTTGTTGCCGTAATAGTATATTGCCTGTATTTCTACCTCTAGTAATGGGCTTTATGTGTTAGATTTTAATATCCTTGAGCCTGGGCAAGTGCACAAGTCTTTTTAAAAGAAACATGGTTTACTTGCACAAAACTGATCAGTTTTGAGAGATCGTTAATGCCCTTGAAGTGGTTTTTGTGGGTGTGAAACAAATGGTGAGAATTTGAATTGGTCCCTCTTATTATAGTATTGAAATTAAGTCTACTTAATTTATCAAGTCATGTTCATGCCCTGATTTTATATACTTGTATCTATCAATAAACATTGTGATACTTGATATATAGTTGTGTGTGACTTGAAGTTAGCATCCACCAATTTATAAAGAAACAAAGGGCCGGCCGAGTGGCTCAGTTGGTTAAGAGCTTGTTCAAGAGTGCGAGCCCTGAGCAACAGCGGTTCGATTCCCGGCCCGAGCTCAGCTGCCAGCAGGTGGCAGGATGGCTCAGCTAAGAAAAATGAAATGAAACAAAAACTATCCTAATTTGAAGACTGGGATTTTAAATTAATCTAGCTCCCTTTTCACAATGAGACTAAATTCCTCCTTAGGTTACTGAAGTAACCGGTATACAATACCTGTAATCAAATGCAGTGCTGAGATCACAAGTCTCATTAATTTGGAGGGACATTGCTAATGCATGCATACATACGCAGTAACAAACTCGACGTTTACTTTTTCATTGTCATATTGAAATACATGGTGACCTGAAAAGCTAACCACCCTCGTGGCCAACACAAAGGTTCATCCTGCGAGCACTCCCAGTGGCTGCTGCTGGAATCCAGATTGCTCTCAGCACCAATGAGCAACCCAGACTGTGGGGAGAACCTCTAGGGAGACATTAATAAACCATGTTGGTGGATCTGACAACCTTTGATGTCTTCAGCATTCTACCTGCTTATTCTCCCAAGAGGGTGCTGAGTAGAACCAGTAGTGCCCATTTGAGTCAAGCTAGTCCTTCCTGTACTAGATTCTAGCAGTCCTCTCCACTGAAATTCTAACAGGTACAGATTTATAGTTTTGGTGGATAATCGTGAATGAATACAATGAAATTAAGGCTAAGCAGAGACAATGTAAATGCTTTAGATAAAATAGTAAGAAAGCTGACTTGGCTAGGCTGTGGAAATGAGCTATCAGTTGCATTATTCCTGGTCCTCTGTCTAACCTTCCCCACCAAGGGGGGAGAACGATTTTTAAACCAGGAAATGTGGCATATAGTTAGAGAAGTGGGTCTTTGCTTCAGTTTACATCCAGAATTCTCCCAGTTCAAGCTAGGGAATTGGGCCAAAGGAAATCTTAAGACTAATTGTACAGTGGTTTGTCATTGGTTACAGAAGTCAAGCTTTCATTCTCCACCCCCGCCCCTCCCCAAGACTTGAAGACGCAAATACTGGCCCCATCTTGTTTCAGACACTGAACAGTATTTTATAACCTACCATGCTGTGGGACAATATTTGGGTACTCAGCATGCACCTTTTATGAATATGCTTTTAGTATCAACATACAAATAACCAGTGACTTAAAACAAATTCCACATCTTGACTGCCCCATTGAGTTGTCTTCATTTTGTCAGTTCCCTTTTTCCCTATTCTAAAAAGCAGGCTGTACTCAATCCACCAAAGTTTTCTCAAAATAACCAATAACCAGTACTCTATCCAGTTGGCTTTCATCATTTTTTAGGCAGCATTTGACAGTAAATTATTCCTTCAGACTGTTCACTTCTTCCCAGGACACCACTCAGTTTTCTTTCTACCTTGCTGGCTTCCTTCTCAGTTTCCAGTGACAAATCCTGGATCCTCAAACACATCAGTTGCTGAACTGGCAAACCTTACCACTAATTTGAAGGCTCTCCCTTCAAAACGTTAGACATCAGGACAATTTCTCACCTCTTCAACTGCCACTCATTTCTCCTCATTTCCACAGGCTCCTCAACTAGATTCTGTGCTACGCCCTTGTTCTCCTTTCAGTCTCAACACAGCAGCCAGAGGCAGAGTCCTTTTAAACGAACGCTTGTCACAAACACCACCAAATGGCTTTCCACCTAAATTTTTAAGTCAAAATACTAAGTTTGGTCTACACACCCCTACATCTGACCTAGTCTCCCCTACTCTACACCCTATTTCTCTGACCTAATTTTCTGCGATGCCGTTGCTCATTCTGCTCCCATCACACGGGCTACCTTGTGGCTCCTGGGATACGCCAAGCACTGAAGGTTTTCTGTTCCTACTTACCCCTGGATACCTGGATGACTGCCTATCTCCGCATTGTCAGGCCTTGGCTCCAATGTCACGTTTATTAGTGAGGTTCCCACTGTCGATCCTATTTAAAATGTAACCCTGAACATACCTTATCCCTCCTTCCTGCTTTATGTATCTCCATGTCTACCATTATTATATGACATACTGCATATTTATATCTGATTCCCTCCAGAATGTGAAGAGGTTGAAAAATCTGACCGTTTCGTTCACTACAGTATTCCTAGTACCTAGAACAGTGCCTAGCACACAGTAAGCTAATACTGTTGAACCAAATCGCAAATTAATAAAATCCTACATGGCAGAGTCTGGACATAGAAGTAAGAAATAGTGGCAAGAACTCAGACTTGAGTAGCTAGATCTAAGATTCATCTCTACCACTTAGTGTGATCTTAGGCAAGATACTTCATTCTCTGAGCCTTGATTTCCTTTGATAATGGGGCTAACAGTTAAGGATTGCCATGAGGACTAAATAGGTAATATGTAAGTCACTAGCTGAGAGCCTGGCACATAGTAGTCCTTCAATTTGTGTGAATTCACATCTCAGTAGCTTTTCCAAGACTTCTCTCATAAGAACTGCTTCCACCCTGAGCTTTTTTTTTAATCACCAGCTACATCTAGGTCTTCTTATATAACCTATCAAAAGCAACAGTTGACAACTCTTACTTCCTTTTCCTCTCAGGCTTTTCCTCGGTCTCCTTTTAAGGCTCTCTTTTCTAGCCAAGTTCATGAATGTTCTGCTTTCCTCCCTCCACTCGATCACTTTCCTCTTGTAGCTCCAGTTACCATCTATGTGCTAATGACATCCATGTCTGGAATCCAAGCCTCTTTCCAGAACATCAAACGTGCACATGCAACCAGCTCCTGAACAAGCACTTCGAACTGAACATGCCCATTACTAAACTCTTCCCCAAAACCAACATTCCCTCCGCTCCTGAATTTGAATGATAGCCCCAACCAAGCCCAAAGCATGAGTCATCTCTGACCCCGCATTCTCCCTCTCAACCCAGTACTCCATTCTAAGTTACTTACATTGTAGCTATTGAAGCCATTTATTTCTCCATCTCTCTCCACTGCACCCCCCCCCGGTCCAAGCATCACCATCGCATGCCTGAATTACTGCAACAGACTTCCAGTTGTTCTCCCTGCCTCTAGTCTTGCTCTCCTAGTCCATCTCCACTTTACAGTCAGTGGTCTTTCTTTCTTAAGAGTCTGGTTTTCCCTCTGGCCTTCACTGGCTCCTAGTTTTCCTCAATAAGATTCAAGTTCCTTTACCTTAACAATCAAGGCCTCAAATTATCTGTTGTTTCCCCCCTTTTACATTGTTTTGTTTTGTTTTCATCTTTTTGTCTCTGGGCCTTTGCACAGGTTGTTTCCTCTGCCTGCAACATTGTTCTCCTTCTATCCTCACCTCTTCATCCCCTTTCATCCAGCTCATTCCTACTCATCCTTCAGGTATTAGCACAAATGTCCCATATTTGGAAAGTCTGCCTTCCTCTGCCAAGGCGGAGTTAGGATTTTGTTCCAATAAGGGTTCTTGGTTGCAAAGAAGAGAAACCCACCCTGTACAAACTAAGTGGAAAGGGAATTTATTGGAACTCTACTTAAGGGACCACAGGAAGCCCAGGGAACCAGGCCTAGAAATGAATGGTGGTTAAGGGAAGCCGGGTAGCCTGAACCACAGAAATAGCCCGGCAAGGGCAGTGCTGTAACCACCCCTTCAAACCCCGGAGCTTCCCCTGCCAGTATTTGCATCGCTTCTCCAGTGACTGCGGGTCCAGGTTCAGGGCCAGAAGCCCACAACTGACTGAACTTGGATCAGTGTCCCCTCTTGCTGCCTTGGTTTCCTTCAACAGAGCAAGGATCTGGCCTTTTGGTCCCCTGGTGTGTCAAGCAGGCCCTGATTCCCACCAAGACTTACAGTGTAGGGAAAAAAAAAGAAAAAAGAAAAACTTTGTTAGGATCTGGGTGGACAGCCAAAAACCCAGATAGTTGTCCACTGTGAGGCCGCTCTGTACTCCACTTCCGCATGCAGCGTTTGCTGCGCTGTGACCACCTGTTACTGCCTGCCTTTCCAGTGGACTGACAAGAGGATGGGGCAGTGGCTCTCAGTCATTGCTCTATTCCCAGTGCCTAGCACAGTGCTGGGCACTATCAGGGATCAGTAAATAGGTACTGAATGCAACAATGAATCCAGGTTGTATAGAACCTGAATCTTATACAATTGCAGGGAGAAGGTATGGCTCTTAAAGAATGAAAAATTAGGTTCAAGGTCCAGAAAGAGTCCTGTGTAAGAAGATGGCCTTGAAACTTAAGCTTCATTGGCTTCATGGTAACTCTGAATGACTGACTATAGTCAATTACATTATAAAAATCTCTGTGCCTATGTATACCAGCCCACTAGAGGGAAACCTAAAACAGGCTAGTTATCAATAAATGCTTGCTGAAGTGACGAGTTTTCTCATTTGTGGATGCCCTGGCCTTACCATTTCCCAGTGCTTCCAATCCAATTAAAAAGCACCCAGTTCCCTACATTTAGTTAATCTATTCACTTGTACATTCAAAAGTGAGCGCCTCATCGTTGCCAGCCTTGTGCCAGGGACTGGGACACAGCATGAGGAAGACACCATCTCTCCCCCAAGGGAGCCCACTGTCCAGCAGGAAAGACAGACAGGAGCAGGTCATGTGATCATGTGGGCATGGGGCAGGTGATGGGCCACACTGATGTGAGCAAGGTGCCACCTGAGCTAACAGGAGGAAACATCCTGGAGAAGCTGAGACTTCAAGGAGTGTTTGTTCCCGGCAAACACTCAGAGCTTTCCAGACAGAGGCAGGGAACCCAACTATGCTTTCTCCTGGCTCCACAGAGCTCCCACCTCCCGTCTACTCTATACCAGAAGGACAGAGTCCATCACTTTTGAATGAGGGGACAGCCTTCATCTTCTGCTGGAGGTGGCCGTGCAGAGCAGCTTCACATATCAGCTGTGCAATGGGGCGAGGAGGACAGAGACTTAGCAAGGCTCTTTC